AGAAACGTAACTCACCGACACACAAGGAGACCCAGTATGTGGAACAATAACTGAGAACAGAACAGACTTGTATTCTCGGTCTCTCCTACTCAGGGTTTATTTGTGTTGCTCCACGCCTGCTGTGGCCAACAGAGACACTATTGTTGTTCTTATCAGACTCTTTGAAAGTCACCTAGGTCAGCCTAATGTCACACAGCTCCAAATTAGGGTCTGCAAAGCATACATGTAGCATCACTTATTAGACTCACCATTCACAGTGGTAATTGTTTTAGGAGCTGCCTCCACTTTTTAATGCCATTTCTAGAAAACATAACCAGAGATCTAAGCATGGAGCACAGCCCCAAAGCAAGATCTGGTATTTTTTGTGCAATATGTACATAAAAAAGTGCTTTCAGCACTCAGTGGCATAAAACCTTACTCACAGGAAAATGCCCCTTATTTTTTAGATGTCTGTTGATATTACTTTACTGTGTTTCATACTATCCATGCACGCCTGTGTTTTAGTTTAAAACATGGTTTAAATGATCACTTTATTAATCAGCAGCTCAACAGATCACCTCAGTTTTACTGTATGTCACTAAATAAGTTAGTTTTATATTCTTTACACAAAACACAGTATACAGTCTACTAAACTGTGATGTCATGTTTTATTATATTTAATGACCTCACTGTAACATGTCAGTTGAGAAAATAATTGTTAATGGGAATAACCACTTGCTGCAGCCCTAATTAAGATGATTGTTTAATGTAAATTTCCATGGCTGTGTGACAGCAGCTCCAAAAAGTCAACAACAGCAACAACAACAACAATTGCCAGTGTGGTTGTTAAGAGAGTATTATAGATCTAGCATGTTGTCAGTGTTTTTCTGGCATTTTTCTGATCTCTTTTGATATTTCAGGCTAAATAGTTTTGCTAGGCTACGCTCACACTGCAGGCGAAAGCGCATCAAATTCGACTTTTTTGTCCCTATGCGACCCAGATCCGATCATGCTATGACAGTGTGAACGGCACAAATCCGATATTTTCAAATCCGATCTGGGTCACTTTCGTATGTGGTACTGAATCCGATACATATCCGATGTTTTAGAAAGCGACTGCTGTTTGAACGGTCACGTCGCGTTAAATCCGTCTTTTACGTCACTGACACGAGACAGACGCCAATTATCAGCTCCGGAGAAGCGCCCGAGAAGACATCGCGAACGCTTCCTGGCCAGATGTTAGTGAAACTGCTGGGAAGACAACGTTGGAGAAACGTGAACATTTTATTTGTACTGTATAATCTGCAGATTCTGACAGAAATCTGCAACTATCCTTTGAAGCACTGCTCCTCTCTAAAACAGCAATAAGGATAATTATTAGGTTATTTACATTATTATGTAAATAACAAAGTAACTTAAAGCAAAAATTGGGAAACGTAAAGTCCGAAGTCTTTATATTAAGGGCCATCAGTCAAACAATATTGTCGCATTTTATTTGTAGTGTGAACAAGCAGACAAAAAAAATCGGATTGGATCAAAAAATCGGAATTGAGCATTAAGACCTGCAGTGTGAACGTAGCCTTATTTGCCTCAACCGCTCTCTGCTACTGTTTTGGCCGGGTCTCCTTTAGTCTCAGCGGGGCTGAAGCAGTTACACAAAGAAGAAGAAGCAGAACAAAGCTGCCTGAAGGTTGCTGGCTAGATGAAGGGTACATTTTGCCCCGGCGGTTTCTCTGGCTTAAATACTTGTAGGGATACTCTGAAAACTAAGGAAACAAACACAACCAGAGCACAGTTTGTGTGTGTAAGATGTTGTGAATATTGGAAGCAGACCAAACTAACTCCCCCTCAGGGCGTTTAGGCCAACGGCCTGTAAAGCTGAAGAGACTGAATTCTCAGGAACTGCAGTTTTAAATAGGAAGAAGCAGTTTCAGTGTTCTGGTATGAGTGCTTGAACAAATCGCATAATTACAGGCTTGACTATGGATGATGGCAAAGGGTTGGGTGATATGATAGCATGCTGAGACAAAAGAAGTTTGTGACGCCCTTATGAGTGTGTTAGGGCAGTTAGGGGAGCACAGCATTAAGGCAAAATTAGATTTTTGCATCACTTTGAGGAAGAGTGATATTTCAAATTATAGCAGCCCATTGTGAGTCAGAACTGACTATACATTGTTTGAAAGCACACACACACACACACACACACACACACACACACACACTTAGAGCCACAGTGAACAGTGATACAGTGATTCCAAGGATTAAGTATGATACATGCCAGTCTGTATAGCTTATTTATTAGCAACAGATTAAGATAGCTGCAAATGATATACTTAACCACTGCTTTCTTTATCCATTAATCTGCTGCATGTCTTCCCAGTTTGTTGTGCAGAGAGAGTAATAACAAAAAGGCCACTTTAATGAGTCAGAGCTCAAAGCGTAATTTTCAGATTTATTTTCAATCAAAAGTATCAGGTATGACGATTCATACTTCAAAGCACCTCAAGACACTTTATATTTTAAGGTAAAGATCCTACAATAATAGACAGAAAGTGTTCTTAACAATATTAAGTGTCTTGAGATGACGATTGTTGCCAGTTGGTGAAATCTAAATAAAATTGAGTAGCTGCACAAACACACAAGTAATCATTTTAGCCCTCAATTAAATACCAGCATTTGGAGATTTAATGCTTATCGCCCACTCACTGTCACCGCTCTCTAGCTGAGCCCAAACTGTGAAAAAATGTAAATGCGTAAACACCAAGTAAAAAAACAAAACCAAGGAGCTATTTTAGTACGATTTACTGCATTTCTAACACTAGAGTTTCTGGTTAAGAGAGTGTGCCATTAAAATTCTTTCAGGGAGAGCGCAGGGTGTTGTCGATCCCAGCTGCCTCTGTGAAAGCCTTATTCTAAAAGCTTTTAGAATAAAAGCTATTAAATTATCCTTATTATCTGAAGGTTTAGATTTGTCAAGTATGGGAAAGTCAGTGTATGTTTTCATAGTCATACTCATAGGAGCATTTTAGTAAATTTGCAATTAGAGGCAGTTTCAGGCACGCGGGTAGCGATAGTGTAAAAATGTAGGAGGGCAGCCAAATGTCTTTGTTTTGATTAAATGGGGAAAGCAGATGCTGAGCAGCTGGATAGTACTAAGTGTGAGTGATTGGGACACCCAGTAAACAAGGACACACCCATGAATATTTTTAAATTAAACAGTCATCGTTAAGTGTAGGAGCTTTTATATCCGTTTTTAATTCTCGTATGGCAAAAAGTATCAGTTCAGAAACTCAAAAGCTTTTTCTTCTACCAATAATGAATCAAGACACCATGTAAAACAGCTGAAATAATAGCATGTCTCTCTGTGACTGTGTCTCCTTTGTTTCACTTGTTTTATTTTGAGAGCTTTGCTTCTTGAAGTATCTTGAAGAAATACTTGTAGCAAGTTTATTGGACTGAATCTCACAATAACCCTAAAGTCATCAAACTGTTGATAACCAGTCTAGTTTGGTGAAAAGCAGAACACGGTGTTACTGGTGAGATTGAAGCTTGGTTGATGTTGACATGGGTATGAAAGGCTGAACCAGTTGGACTAGTCTGATGTGTATGTGATGCTGCCTGTGGCTGAGGCAGGTAGGGCATGACCTGAACACATTCACAGGCAAAAAGCTGTGAATAATTTAGGGTGTAACTTATCCAGTATCAGTAAATTGGGTGTAATGCTGTGCTGATCCACACGGTGAGCTTACACAAAGCCTAAAACTCTCAGGAAGTTTTGTTTTTAATCCTTGATGCAAGTAAAACCTATTCACAATACAATGAACACCTCTTGGTACTTCTTTGCAAACAGCAGCAGTGTCACATGATAATTTGTTCAAAGGCTGGTGGTGCGCTGAGTATTTGGCCAACAATTCATATCAGTTTTTGTCCAAAAGATTGAAAAATTTGCATTTTGGGAGGTTTGCATCTGTGCTAAAGTTCAGAGGCATGTCTGCCGACGTTACAGAGTTTCAGAGAATTCCAGTGCTTTTAAGGGTGTGGTGTGTGTGTTGAGAAAAACAAAATTTGTCACAGCTTGAACCTTAGTAACTTTGCAAACTGCGTGAGCACAGCCTTGGGGAGGGGAGCTGCAATAATGACTAAACACTATGTAGACACATTGAACAATAGATGATTCATTTAGTTCCACAAACAAAAGTGAGAGGGCAGTGAGAGCTGCATCCTGAGCTGTCATAAACTGTTGTTTTTGGACAATTTTAACGCATAAAATGTGACCCAGTAAGCAGTTAATGCTTCAATTTCTAAGCTTCTACAAAAAGGTGGTGGTTTGATTTCAGAGGTGCACAATAAAGTTAGAATGAATAGTGCAGAAAGAGTGCTGCCTTCTTCATTTTCATGAATCTTTTTACTGAACATTAACCATAAATAGAAAAACCAAAGCTGTGTTGAGGCATAAAGCAGCTGAAACCTTCCCACTAAGACTGGAAAGTCTGTGTGCAGCTTTACAGGTGTAACTTTCTGCAGCTGTTTTCTCTGAGGGCCTAATGGTAACATGTACCAACATTTTTAACAGAACATATTCAGAGATTTTCTTTTGTTTTGTTTTGTTTTTAAGAAAATTAACTTAAAAATGGAAATGGGAGTTGTACCTTGTGCTGTGTATAAGACATACACTGTTGTAACACTTGTTGATATACCAGGGTTGAAAATCTTACAAAGACTTCTTTTAAAAAACTGAACTTTTCAGACTTTTGTTTCTTCTTGAGTGTCACAATTGTTTTTGCTTATGTTTCGTTCTAGCTTGGGCCCAGGCAGTCGCTGCTCTAATGATCATTGGTCTAATCATCCTCATCATCGCCTTCATTTTGGCCATTGTGGCGATGTGTAACATCAACGTTGGTCTTATGGTTGCTGTTGCAGCATTCTTGATCGTTGTTGGTAAGATACACACACATGCACAAAAACTTGCATCCGCACAAACACCTAATTTCTGCAGGTATAATTACTTCCACATCTACACAGTAAAAATATTGTAAACAAAGTCAGGTGGGGCTGGCGACATGTATTGAGAAGAAGAAAAAATCCTCCGCTTCAGATATTCTTTGTTGGTAAATGACATTAACTTTAACTACATGAAGAGCAACACTCAACCACAGATAAGAATCTCTGAAACTGATACCAAACATGCCTCCGGTCTTATCCGTCCATTACATGATGCTTTAATCTTCAAATAACATGTTTAAGCTTGCAAATGTTCAGACAGCAGCTTCCCAAATAGAAGCAATATGCAAAATAGGTTAAAAAAAAAGTAATAATCTGACAATATTATTTTATACCAACACCAAAACTGTAAAAAAAAAAAGGAAGGGAAATATGTGGGAGTTGCGTACAATCACGCAATAAAACTAGTGACGCTGATAATGACTGCGTGTTTTGGCGTTAAGAGGGTGAGCGTAGGAAAAGGCCTTTTTCCCCTGAGGCGTGATGCTGCTGTGGCAACAGCTGGTGTGTTTATCAGACAGACTGACTGACTGACTCACCTCACAGACGAAAGACCCTGACACAGTTACAGGTGGTGGGGTGTTTTTTTTTTTGTTTTTTTTAAGTTTTTTTACACTGTAATAGTCACCAAAAAGATATCAGAAATGACTGGCACAGAAATGTGCCACCTCAAAAATCTATTTTCCTATTTTTATTCGACGGCATCCCAGCTGCTGTTTCAGCCCACACAGCTCCTCGTTGAAGATATGATCCTACATTGAATCAAATCCAAGATTCAGGGTTTATTTTATAGCTGCATTTTACAGAAATATGTTGGATTGGATAAATCACTTTGTCGGTTGCAGTTGCCTGCAACTGAGATTTTGATTATACAGGAGTTTTAAAATAAAGTCGTGTGTTTGAACAAAATGTGCAAAATAGTGGGGCGAGGAAGTTCAGTTTCAGTCTGGTGGAGGGTTTTACAAAAAGAGGTGGTGGTTAAAAATCAAACAAATCAAACTAAACTTGAACGTTTAATTTAAACTGTGTATTTATGAAATATAGAAAAAAAAGAGTATATTGACGATTTTTGGCAAGCATTCCTTCAAAACTATATTTTCTTCACTTGTTAAGTCTTGACTCTTGTGTCTGTATGATGTCAAAGAAAGCAGATATCCCTAATTTGGTCATTCTTACTGTGGTTGGCTCTGTCTGTGAGCACAGCAGCCCAACCCATCTGCCATTCAAAGCATTTTTTTTTAATGAGGCGAGCAACTCGGAAGAAATTTGGCCTATTAGGAACAGAAAGTGAGATAAAAGAGCTTGCTTCAGTCAAGTAGATGAACTGTGGGGCCCGTCCCCTTTAATATGTTAATGCAGTGTTCAAAAATTCAGGCCTGCCTTTGCAATTAATGTGAAAGTGCGTGTTGAAATAGAGTAGTTTATGTTCACTCCCTGCCTTTCCTAAGCAAAATAATGCTGTTTTAATAGTCATCTGTCATGGGAAAGTGGCTCTAACTGAGTCAGAGTCACACCTTTCTCATGAATAATCCCTGGTAATAATGACAGGTCTGCCAAAACTCACCTCCAACTCCCAGATGTTGATATGCTGATGAAACTCTTACACAGGCTTGTGAAGGTATTTTTCACACCCTGCTGTTACCATCAGTGTAGTGTTGACTGCATGACTGACTAAGTATGTTCAACTTCCTTGTTTTCTATAATAGTTTTAAAACTCTGCTCATCTAGTTTATGGTTTAAATATATTTTTTATTAGTAGGTTTTTATTTACACAGTAAAAACGAACTCTACTTTCCACTGACTGGTCTGTGAGAGTAAGTTATTCGGCCAATCTGCTATATAAAATCTCCCTCTATTTCTTGCTTAATAAAAAATGCAATAGATCATTTATCAGCTTCTAAACAATTTATCCCCAAAATGAGATCTTGCATAAATTATCAAATGTAATAATAGGTTATCATTATTGCATTGTTTAATTTTCCAGCTAATTTATTGGAGTGAACCCGGAGGCATTTTGCAGTTGTTAACACATAGCTTTATATCAGTTTTTAAATAAAACTTAAATATGTACTTTGCTTAATTATCCCAGGAAAAGAAGTAGTTCTCATCATGTTGTAATTTAAAGCCCTGAAACCCTAATTTCTGAATTAGCTTTTGACCATTAACAATGACTTTAGACAACATTTCTAGTAAAGTAAAAAAAAAAAAAAACAATTAGTTTGAGCCATTGCTGGTTTAGGCAGTTTGGCATTAGTTGATTTATTAGTGTAGATTATCACCTCACACTGTGCACCAAGCCTTGTTTGTCTGTCTCTCTCTGCAGCGATTATCCAAATCATCGCTCTGATCATCTACCCAACCAAATTCAATGAGCTGATCTTTGAGGGTAACTATTACTACACCTGGGCCTACGGATTTGGCTGGGGCGCCACCATCATCTCTATCGGCTGCGCCATCCTCTTCTGCTGCCTGCCGAGATATGAGGATGAACTCAGCGGCCAGGCAAAGGTCAAATACCTGTATTCTTCTGAGTAAGGAAAAAACCTGGGGACCCACCCAGTCATAGCCATTTCCACTTTTCGCTCTGAGCTGCATCTGGACTGGCCACCGAACATTTTTACACTGTGCCGTTTCACCAAAGATTTCCAATGGCTTATTCAGTTTAATATGGTCCAGCAATGGGAAAACCACTCTTCTACAATCTGTGAGTGAAGTTATAGGCAAGAAGTAATTCCTACTGGGAGTGGACTGCAATTGGGAACTGCATCTAATTTAGTACACAGATCTCTATTTTAGATTTATTAAGAAAAAAATAATAATCATGATGTTATTTTTTTTTGTTTTTGTCATATAAAACACACTTATCAATTTACCTGTACTTTTATAACTGTAACTCTCTAACGCAGTCTCACATCACTTTGTGAAATAGTTGCAAACGTCAATCAAAGGACCAAGAAACAGACAAACATCAATTTTACACTTCATTTTGATTTTTGATTTGATATTTTTTATAATTCTATATGTTTGGTTACACGAGTTCCTGGTTATATTTAGGAAAACTGTATCGCTTGGGTTAACCTACTATATTTACTACATGTTTTTATGTGTCCCTAAAAGGATGGTA